CCTGCTGAAAGTAGTTGATAAAGGGGTTTGATTTGTTTTACGCTGTGTTAGTCAAACTACCACCTCGGCAGTCAGCCACGTCCCTGTTAGGGCTGTTCTCCTTGGCCTGGCCTCCAGGCGTTAGAGGGGAAGCTGCCTCCCAGCCCTTACGCCTCCCGCCTAGCGCCTCGTGTGACTTCAGTCTTCGAGGACGTGTTTGGTGAAACACTGAGATGGAGCTGCAGCTCTAGCCTCAAGCTACAAAGACCCAGAAGGAGGGAGGGAGATCTGTTACCAAAAATGGGACAAAAGCAGAATCCTTGGCACAAAGAGTGACTATAGTTTGTCAGAATTGGTTTTGACCCAGCACCACTCCCACTGGAACCCTCTCTGCTCTTCCCCCTGCGTTGTAAATGTTCCTGAAGGTTCTGATCTCACTGCCCCTTCCTGGCTCTTTTCCACTTTTTTAATACCTCATAATCCTGAAACAACACTGTTAGATTCTTAAGCCTCTGACTGTTATATGGGAGGGAGGGACAGGTGGGGCTGTGCTATATGTTGCCTGCTGCCCACCTAGGGAATCTTTGGTCTGCACAGAGGGTACTTCTGGACTCTATCCCAGTTCTGAACTGTTATTGCAGGCACCTTAAAACGAATAGGATGATTGACCCTCCTAAGATGGAGAATGAGATAAACTCCAGTCTGAATTTCTTACCATATTTGCGGGGGGAGATATCTTGGCATTTTCTCAACTGTGGGTAGCTAACAGAACACTTTCTACAACAGGACCCCACAGAACAGACTGTCATCAGGGCAGGAGGCAAGGACTTCTTCCTGCTTTTGCCCGAGCGGTCTGTCTAGACCATGCTGGCTGTAGGAAGTTGACGTGCTTTCCACCCTGGAGGCCTGTGCCAGTGCCACCCGGCTGCTTCCAGCTGGGATTAACCTCTGGCTTTTCCAGTTCATCAAGGCTATTTTTGTTCTGAAGCCTTGTTAGCCTATCTTATTCTGATAGAACCTTTCCTACTCTTCACCGCATTTTATAACTCCTAGCTTTCAAGTTTCTTCTATTTTTACCACTTTCCTCCATATCTAATTTCAGTCCCTTGCTGTCTTCCCTTTTTTGTTTTGGAAATTTTCAAACCTACAGAAAGTTGAAAAATGCTAGTGACCACCTCATGCTTTCACCTGGGTTCATCAGTTGTTAAAATATTAACTCCATTTGCTTTCTCT